TAAATAAACAAATAAATAAACATACTGATTTATGAACCCTTGATTTTGACTCCCATTCACTATGGCACATACCCCATTCACTGCGATTATGCCACAATTGTGTGTTTGTTAACCGAATTATGAACTATTGGCGACGTACCAACCGTTTGGTATACTCCCTACGGTTATTCCTAACTAACTTCATCTGCCCAACCATTGCTCAGTTTCACTTACTCCCCGTTTCCTGGAGTTTTTCGGGTATGTTTTGAGGGTTTTTGTCCCCGGCACCGTTCATTTCGGCGAACGCCCTAACCATCGCGGGTGTGCTTCATTCATTCCGTCCGCCAACTGTTTGCCTATCGTTTCCCACAATTTGCGCTCTCCGGGATCTTCTGGAACCGAATTACGAATTTTTGAAAGTTCTGTAGCGAGCACCGCCCACCTATAGCACGCCTCGCCCATCACGTAGGTTTTGTGACTCCCTCAATTTCATCCGCCAACTGACTGCTTATCGTTTGCCCACACAATTTCCGCTCTCCGGGATCTTCTAGAACTGAACTACGAATTTTTGAAAGTTCTGTAGCGAGCACCGCCCACCTATAGCACGCCTCGCCCATCACGGGTGTGACTCCCTCATTTCACATCCGCCAACTGACTGTTTATCTTTTCCCCACAATTTCCGCTCTCCGGGATCTTCTAGAACCGAACTACGAATTTTTGAACTATGTAGCTCACAAACGTGCGCATGCCCCGCCCACAGTGGGCGGAGCTTAGCTCAGTTCATGTGTTCCGTACATCTTGACCCATGCCCTACCCAACCCACCCTTGACCCGCCCCTTCCAACTGGTTCTTCAGGTGATTCCGAATTTCCGGACAGACAGACAAACAGACAAACGTACAGACGTTGCCGTTTATATATAGTAGTGATGTACCCTCCCAATGGTAAACAACTGTGAAACTACTGTATAGTCGATGTGTGGTCTGTCGGTATTGGATGATTAGTGAATGAACTGAAGTAGGAATATGCATTTACCTAAATTGTTGTGCAGTAAATAGTAGGTAAATAAACAAATAAATAAACATACTGATTTATGAACCCTTGATTTTGACTCCCATTCACTATGGCACATACCCCATTCACTGCGATTATGCCACAATTGTGTTTGTTAACCGAATTATGAACTATTGGCGACGTACCAACCGTTTGGTATACTCCCTACGGTTATTCCTAACTAACTTCATCTGCCCAACCATTGCTCAGTTTCACTTACTCCCCGGTTTCCTGGAGTTCGCGTCATGATTTGAGGTTTTGTCCACGGCCCACACGTTCATCGGCGAACGCCCTAAACCATCGCGGAGTTGCTTCATTCATTTCCGTCCGCCAACTGTTTGCCTATCGTTTCCCACAATTTCCGCTCTCCGGGATCTTCTGGAACCGAATTACGAATTTTTGAAAGTTTTGTAGCGAGCACCGCCCACCTATAGCACGCCTCGCCCATCACGGGTGTGACTCCCTCATTTCATCCGCCAACTGACTGCTTATCGTTGCCCACAATTTCCGCTCTCCGGGATCTTCTAGAACTGAACTACGAATTTTTGAAAGTTCTGTAGCGAGCACCGCCCACCTAATAGCACGCCTCGCCCATCACGGGTGCTGACGCCCTCATTTTCATTCCGCCAACTGACTGTTTATCTTCTCCCACAATTTCCGCTCTCCGGGATCTTCTAGAACCGAACTACGAATTTTTGAACTATGTAGCTCACAAACGTGCGCATGCCCCGCCCACAGTGGGCGGAGCTTAGCTCAGTTCATGTGTGTTCCGTACATCTTGACCCATGCCCTACCCAACCCACCTTGACCCGCCCCTTCCAACTGGTTCTTCAGGTGATTCCGAATTTCCGGACAGACAGACAAACAGACAAACGTACAGACGTTGCCGTTTATATATAGTAGTGATGTACCCTCCCAATGGTAAACAACTGTGAAACTACTGTATAGTCGATGTGTGGTCTGTCGGTATTGGATGATTAGTGAATGAACTGAAGTAGGAATATGCATTTACCTAAATTGTTGTGCAGTAAATAGTAGGTAAATAAACAAATAAATAAACATACTGATTTATGAACCCTTGATTTTGACTCCCATTCACTATGGCACATACCCCCATTCACTGCGATTATGCCCTACCCAACCCACCCTTGACCCGCCCCTTCCAACTGGTTCTTCAGGTGATTCCGAATTTCCGGACAGACAGACAAACAGACAAACGTACAGACGTTGCCGTTTATATATAGTAGTGATACTAAACCAATCGCTTCAGGTTAATTTTTTTTCTACGCTCCCTCGCCTGGATGACGTTCTATTGTAGTACCACTGCGAGCTCTCGCCTTCAGACTATTCAAAAAGGTGGCTCTCCCACCCCCGGTAGTCTTTCCCTTGAAGAGTCCCTGTCACTGGCCCGCTACATGTTTCCAATTCTCGATGCTTTTCTTTGTCCCTTTTGCTGTCTGTACGGGTCGCGATAGGACTTAAACTTCGAATTGTCACCAAACCCTAGACCTGCTGGTGGCCCATGAGTAATGGCATTTGGCGTTTTCCCATCTTAGAATCTTTCAATGAGGAGTAATGTGTTGCGAGGCTTTCTGCGCCGTTCCATGGAGTATCCCTTGCTCTGTAAAGCTCTGCTTTTTGATGGTTCAAGGTGTAGTGAACTTTGGGTAAAGGAAGTGGAGTGCCAAGTTGACGAAAATGTGCGCTTCGACAGCTCAGTTCTTTCATAAAGTGTGTGAATGAGGAACAATGCCCTTGAAAATTCTAAAAATTGGTTTATGCGATTTGAAAACTCATCGACCACTTTGCGGACATGGGGCGGCACCACACAGGCAGCCATGTCCTTCTCACAGGAAGACTTTGAAAATCCCACGACAGTTTTTGTGCCTTGAAGATAGCTCTCCGGCAGCTTCCACAGTTTACGAGATTTTGATCGAGGCGTTGATGATTTTTTTGAAATTCTTGAGCAGTCTCAGAGCCTTTTTCTGTACCATTCATTACTGAGGCAAATCACTGGAAGATCAGAGATGCTTCTATAACTCATTTCGAAACAACTTAGAAGTGCTCAGGTCAGAGGGCGCTCTCTGCGTAGCGTCAATGCATCTGGATCAAACGCTGAGTGGCAATGGCGCAATATACAGTCCTCATCATTGCGGACCGGTGGGGCGTGGCAGTGCGGCTGCATTTGGTGCGGTTTGGCAAAGTCGTTCTGCACCAGTTTTTGAAGCGAACAAGTGCATTTCTGTATAATATCCTTCGTATTATTACTCGCTTTCTGCCACTTTTTGTCGCATACGCGTTGCAAAAAAAAGGCTGAGAACGGCTTCAACAGTGTGCGCACTCCTTCTGGGCTGACACGCCCCACCGGTCCGCAATGATGAGGACTGTATGCTATGTTATTTATGCAAGAGCGATAATATGTGTTCAGAAGATTCAGAAAAGTCTCTTCCTACCCAGGGATCAATTCCAACTGTACTGACTCGTCATCTACGCACCTACGAATTCACGCTAACTTGCTTTACATTACCTATAACTCTTGCCCGACTTTTAAACACTTTTGTATATTTAGTTCTTCTTTCTTTCAATGTACATGTAGTCAACAGTGCAATCCTCAAGTGATTTGCCGATATGGGGCCATTTCCTGGTCAGTGGCTGGATGGGTTTATTCATAGAACGAGGGAGCTAGTGACTGAAGAAGGAAGGTCTCTTAATACTGGCACTGGCTCCAAATGTTATTCGTAAACCATAATTGGTAGTAACGGGTGTTGATCTACTTGTACTACTAGCTCGCTACCCTGCAGTAGTTCTAATCTCAGAACCTCCACTAGGAGCTCTTTTCTTCGACCAACATACAACAATTACCAGGCTATGACCCGACATGGAACAAAAAAGTTGGATTCGAACAAAATCACATGAGGATTCTGGGCAACAATACTGCCGGTCCATTATTATATTATTATTCTATAATGTTTTCCACGTAACCTGGATTTCTTTTACAGCGCAACGTCTCTTACGATCCCCATTCTAAGGTCAAGTATGAAAAGCGTGAGCTGCGGGCTCGTGTCCCGACTGGCAAGGCTTCTGCTCATAAGTTAACATTCTGATATGCCTGTTGAAACGTGAACTGCAGCATTAAACAGCAGTTATCACAACGAAACAGCCTTTGATAGGGTTACATACAAACTGTAAAACTCGAAACTTATCTACACTCCTTATCCCTGAGCCAGAGTAGGCGTGGCATTTGAACATGGCACGGAACTGGTTACTCGTGGAATATTCCAGTCTGGGACAACTGTCATCTTGTTCTGTGTTGGACAGAGACACGACAACAATTGTGTCAAGATGAAAATATCTCACCAGAAGCATAGACACCTTCAGGTTAAGTTGAAACATGCGGCCACGCCTACCCGATCTCAGGGATTTCGAGTATACATATGCGCAAAAACTGCGGGCAGTAGAGAAATGGGAAATCATGAACAAAAAGGTGTATCGGGTGTTTTGATTTAGTCTTTTTAGTTTTAGTTCCAATCTTTAGCCATTTAGTCACTTTCTTTTTTCATCGCTTTTATCCTATACTGATGGCTCTCCAAAGATTCGCCGCAACTTTGAAATGCCCTTCTCTCTCTGTTGAGGATGTTCCCGTTTTGATTTCGCTTCTTAGGCAGCGTTCAGCTCGTCGCGCTGTAACGCGCTGTAACGCGCTGTACAGCACTGTATGCCATACTTTCTATCTTGCACTACTGAAATGAGAAACAAGAGAAAAGGATTAAATATAAAAGGAAAGTAGGAAAAGAGATTGGTGTAGGCTAGAGTTGGAGTGCGCTTGTAATTGCAGCGCGTTACAGTGCTTTGCAGCGTGAGGAGTCTGAACGCTTCCTCACTCAAGTCTTCTTTTTGTCGACTTTCCCTATTTTGAGCCTCTCCCATATCTATGAACTGCGAGATTTTCAGGCTTTCTGTCCATTCTAAAATGGTAGCGGATGTCGCTTACACTAATCTGAATGTCACGCCGATTGTGACAAGCAAAATATTACCTACCCATGTGAAACGTAAGTTTGTAGGTGTCAAGTTTGTTTAGCTGTACGATTTAACAAAAACATTCCAGTAATATGCGCTGTGTGCGGTGATGACTCTACTGGTTTTCACTATGAGGTGTTAAGTTGTAATGGGTGGTAAGTTCATTGCAGCATATCGATCGATCGTACAGTAGTCTGACGCAGATGTTCAAAATGGTTCGTTGATTGTCAGAGCCCGAACTTAACCATAAGAGGCTACGACTCCCACTGTCGGAATCAAAAAAATTGAAATTTCAATTGTCCAAGGAACCTCCAAAATTTTTGATTTCAGGAAAAGTCTTTGAAGGTTATGTAGGTACTGCCTAAATCTCCTAATATTTTCTCATTTAAAGCAAAACCTTCTTCCGTCGTACCATTGTGACCAAACGAAGCTTCAAATGTCACAAAAATGGAGAATGTCGCTTCAGCAAAGGTTCATTTGTGATTTTGGCAATATTGCTTGACAAAATTTCTATCTTGTGAGTATAATGATCATGAGAGGAAATTTTCGGAAGCAGGGGTGTTTACGTTACTGAAAGCAAAAATTTAAAAAAAGCATTATTTCTGATTTTCTTCAAAAGTAATGCAAGTGACCACAACCACGTGCCATTATTCGAACAACAAACTCGGTCCACTAATAGGCGTTTGAGTTCCAGCGCCTACATTGTGATGAAGGTGGGCGCTGGATTTTAGACGTTCACAGTTTCGTTCTCTGCTGACGCTGGGGCATGGAAGGGGTGTGGGGAGGTTTTGGCGCGGCGCAAGCTGGTTTTCCACCAATAATGGTCATCCGTTAACTGTCACAATTGGTGGTGAACTGGTTGGCGCCGCGTCAAACCAAGCCGCCCTAACACGCCCCAGCATCCGCAGCGAATTAGACTGTATGTAGAAATGTTAACGATATCGTCTCGTAGCAAAGAATATCTACTATCGAGAATACTTTCAGAGCATCGCTGCGCATGCAGGTCTTGTCGCTTCAACAAGTGTCTCCAAGTAGGAATGAATCCGGAAGGTTGATCCGCTTTTTCTACAGCTTGAGTATACTACAACTTTCTGGTAAAAATAAGAATGGGACGTTTTAGAAAGTTACCTTTTCTCCTCTTTCACCGGGCTTCTAGCTGAACTGTAATTCATGACTTCCCAGGCAGGGCACCGCCCATACCAGTACAGTGCCTGTTGCGGTCCTTGCTCTGATGAGCTACAGCCACGCCCCTTTAGATAATAGGGTGTGGAGTAGAGCGCACCCAGGGCCTTACCGCCATAATGCCATCTCGAATCCACTGAAGTTCTTGGGGAAGGAGCGAGAGTGGAGCTTCCATTTAGGAGTACTCGTCAGGTAGCATCGGATTTCGCTTGTAGGCTGTTTTAAAAGCGGACCCAGCAAAAAAAGGAGGTGTAAGTGGAGAAAAAAGGTTTGAGCGCTATTACCTTACACTTTTCGCCACTAAACTCAGTATTGTCTGCTGCGAACCACAGCATTTTCCCACATAACTTCTTGCACTCCACGGGAAGTAGCACACCTTTTTTCCAGTTGCCTTCTTCCAGTGGAGGGTTCCGAGGGCTCTGCGCTAACAGTCTTGTTCGGATGATGGGTGTGCCACAATGGATGGGTTTGGCGCGGCTCCGAAAGCTCCATACCCGTTTCCCACCAGCTGCTGTTGCTTACTCGATTCATCATGTTTGGAGAACGAGCTGGGGGCGCGTCAACCCAGGCACACTGACACGCCCCTTCATCCGCAGCGAACAAGACTCTACATGGGTGGCACTACCTTTTGCTACTGTTGTTGTTGTTGTTGTTTAGTGTTCTTTTATCCATTCTATTCGTTTATAAAAATAATAGACGTTTCTTAAGCAATTCAATCAACGCGGCGGACGAGCAGCTTGACCCCGACTCTTACGTCGTCATGCAGCTCTCAAACGGTACTTTTTCTTTTTTTAATGAAAAACTGTAATGCAGGGTTATCCTTGAGTTTAACGTCACGAGACTTGTGTAAGAGAACTGCCAGAAATGCAACGTTCATCATGCCTAGATGAACCTACCCCTAGAGTGCTACAATGGTTTTCTGCTCCGAGCTTCTCACACTCTCAATTAAGTTTTGAAATTCTGTTTTCTTTTCTAGTCCACCTTCGAAGCTTGGGCGGTAATTGTGAGTCCCATTTCCTTCCGAGATCGCTCTGATTGCCTTTCTGAAGATCATACTGAAATTATCTTCTACAACCGTTTCACATTTCAGTGTAACCGCAAGCGAGGCTACGATATTTCATCGCTGTTGAACGACACTCCTTCCCACGATCCGTCCGTTACGTACCGTTCATCCATCCCAACGAGCTCTGCCGGTCAAAATCCGTTTCGTACTAAATCTTGTCACAATGAGCTGGTAAATACTAGTTAGGTAGTTATGCTTTAGCATTCCAAGCAATCCCGAAATTGGTTAAAACGCGGAATAAGGAATTGCGCCACAAAAACCACATTTTAATATATTGCCCTACTGTCTCATCTTAGGTTGCTATTCTTGGCACGTCGACATTTCCTGTTCTTCGACCAGTAGGGGTGGGAAAAGGGTCTCTCAACGTCGTCGGCGCAATCCCACTTTCCCTCTCCATTTTTTTACTAGTGGGAGTGGTCCCATGCTATAATTCCGCCGTCATATGGGGATGGCGTGTTGGTTTGGTTGAGCCGTCAATCGTATGATTGAATAGCAATTTCCTTCTTTCGGCAGCTAAATTATTCAGATGGTGGACCGCAAGACTGGTCAGTATCTGAAGAACGATGAACTGCTTGAGGATACTCGGCATATATAGAGATATATATTGAACTAGGACATTCGGGTGATTATTGCCTTCGCCTTTAGAATATACAAAAGCTATTACAAGGCGGTTATAAATGTTTCCAAACATGGTCGCTGAAATGGTCATCCAGTGCACTTATTTAGTTGCGGAATGGGAAACCTGCTGACGTGAGACTGGGACAAGGATTACCTCGTAGCGAGCTGAGTATGCTAAAATGTTCTCGAATGGGTGGAAGAAATGCATGTGCGTAACAGGTTTGTTGACACTGTGGTCACGTGTGCAATGAGGGCTGTCAGTGGGTGGTGTTTTACGTGGAATGAGAAATGACCACAGCTGAAAGAGCAGTAAACCTCCTGAAGGACTTATTTTGGTACAGGAGGAAAGAGAGGACTATTTATGGCCACAATAAAACGTAAATGGGCGAATTTCCCGGCGAGAAAAGTTCCGAAATACTGAAAGAGGCACACTTCACAGCTTGAGTTTGGGTAGGTGCAGTGACTTGGGCAAGTTAAGTGCTGCTACCGCGAGCATGCTGCTTCACATAACCGCGCGCTGAGGGAGTATACAAGCTTCACTGAGGTGAGCGAAACAACTTGGGTACGTTACCACTATGATCTGTTAGGTATGTTGTATCGCAATTTATATAAGATTCGGTTGAGTGGGGACTCTCTAACCACGCGGTTGGAAACTCATCTAGATCTTTTAGGAGATTGACGTGTTGGAATGAAAGCAACCGAGTCTGCAGTTGTATCCTGGGATACAGTGAGCGCAATCTTCCTTTCTACGGATGTGGGAACTGCTACGGGAAGACGAATTTCTTGCTCTACGTGATTCCCGCCCGAAGGTAAAATCACAAAACTTTAGATCACTCAGCGCTTTGGTGGTTCATATCATGATTCGGAGTTGAGTGGGACCTCTCAGGTCATTGCGTCGGCTTAGAAAGTGTGCGTCGTGACCCTTTTGCGCTCGGGTGCTTATTTTTCGTGCGTGAAGGTCGCGGAACTGGGCCGCAACGACGGCCCGGCTGTAACTGCCATTCTTCGAGGTGATTTGCGATTCATCTGTTGTTTCTCGCCATGGCAGGCTTGGGCGTGCGAGTAGACTTCTGCTTTACGTCAAGCTAGGCCTTTCATTGGGCCCTGGGCGATCTTGGATCTGTATACTGTGCTTCCCCCGGTACATGCCTCCCTCAATATTCGTATTGCGACGTGAAGTCGCTCGATGCACCAATGCCGGGTGTCACTCGAACCGCCGGACAGGGCCTCCCGATTCGGCGAAAGGTCATTAGGACTTCTAAAGCCATGTAATCGGGGGTGAAGAGTGTTGCCTTTGCGCGGCCAAATGTGATTCGTGGTGAGCGTTTCGCGCCGCACATTCCTCGGGCGCCATTTTCTTTTATCCTTGTCGGGGCCCCCGGGCTCTTCTTCTGGGTGCAATTCGTCTCACTTGTAAATCTTGAATGGAGATTTACTTTGTATTAGTGAAGCTGAAATATGGACACTGCTTTCCTTTCAGCTTGCTGATAGATGTGTTGAAAGGCGGCACGTTATTTCTATGTGCTGCTGATGTGACATGGTGGCTGTTGAACTTCGAAAAGGACCGTGACCGGTTGTCTGGTCTACGCATGCCTGGGTTAAGTTGAGCCTTCGCTGTACTTTCCTAGATGCGCCACTTCTGCGCTCTATATCTTCTATCCTCGTTGGTATGAGTGTAAATGAAAAGAAATCCGCTTCGTGCTATTCTGTGACGCAGTGTGATAATTGAATTAGTTACAAGTCAGTGTGCCTTCGTCTCAGTATTCTGTATTGCTCTTGGGCCTTACGTTTGCTGAGTTGTCCATGATTCCACAGCTATTTGCGAGTTTTGAATGGCATCGTCTTGCACAGGGCAGCAGTATTTTTGTCACTTAAAGTGAACTTCTTATTTTGAATTAGGGTTGACTTTCAGTGCATGTAGCTTTCAGATTATTTCAGCACTTCGATGGATAACACGTCGCGCTTCAGCGGGACGACTGCGAGAGAAAGACGTATGAGGTGCAACTGGTGACTCGGTAGTCTTATTTTACCAAAGGTTTCGTTGTTTCTTGGTATGAATAAAGTTACTGGAAGAGGTTAGTTCCAAAACTGGGGTAAGTTTCTCACGCTCAGCTGTTTCGTGGGTTCCCCTTGTCCGAGTCCCTTTTAGGTAGTCAGGCATATATCTCGTACTCGTGGGTGGATAATTAGGTGTTGGTTTGGGCGTAGGGCGCCGGAAAGACCTTCTTTTGCCGTTGTTATCGGTTGCCGTCTCATTGGTATTCTTGTCGCTCAATTTAGCTGGGTCACCAAGAGCAAACTTTCAGGAATACGGCATTCGGGGTGAGTGAGAAACTAGCGTGTGCATACAACAATTGCTCGGCATGAAATTTCCTAATAAGCACCTATGCTGGGCATACCTTACGTCAGCTCATCAACTCACTGTTTCCTCCCAAATTCCTTCGTATGTATTCAGAAAAACCTTAGCACTTAGCAATCCCGCACGTCGGGGGGGGTATTCAGCGCAGCGAGCAAGATTTATGAATCTTTTTTTCGCGATTTGAAGAAATTGTTCAATCTTAAGGAGGCGTTGAAAATGAATTCGGCTACGTGTTTGAATGGTAGCAACGTGTACGGAAATAAGGTGAGAATAACGGTTGAAATATCGGCAAAAATAAAGCGTTAAATAGTTCCGCATATGGTGCAAAGAAGCGTTCTTCGTTGGCTGTCAATCGTGCACGACTCAGAAAACTATTTCGGACGAGTTCCCCGTTGGCATCGGCATCGGCATCGCCGAATTCTGTCCTACTAGGCGTATTAGTCATACACGCTTTGAGATTTATCGTGCCAACTGCGTTTAAGCCAAGCAAACAACCAATGGCAAAACGCCGCGGTTGGGCTCATTCAGTGTCTCTCAGCAACTCCCCGACTATTTGCGTCGAAATCAACGTAGATATACGTAAGGATCAAATCACAGAAAGCGGAAACCTTTCTATGGTCACCGCTCCTGGTCACTTCATTGCTAACAACTTCGGAAAACCTTGGAAACAAACCGTTGATTAACTCCAACATTTTTACTTTTCAGTCGTCATCATTACTTTTAGATACCAGTCAGAGGGGGCTTCACGAATGGCTGATCACTTATCGATCGTGTGGTCCTTATTGAACGACTGTCGTACGTTACGTGAGCACCTTCTCAACACTCTATCGTCATCGTCTCTTACTTCATACATTCTCAATTTACAATGCTACCTTTCATAGTTTTTGTTCGAGAGTTACTTTAGTTGACAGGTGTTGTGAATATTATGGGAATTTCTCATGGAATAAAAACATTCCAAAAATGACTATTATCCTGCCTTTGGGCGCAAATGTGACTCAGATGAGACGTACAGTGGGCAGACAGTTTATGACATTTGTTCCCTTCTCACGACGCGCGTACTATGTTTTCAACGCGCGCGATGAAATCGATCAACGATTAGCTGTTGCGAAATTGTCCTAGTAATTTGCTGGGTCCGATTTGAAGATGGCCAACTTCCATGTTCTGTCCCTCACGACCTCAATTTTGCCTTTTTCCACCTGATCTCTGGTTTCGAAGAGTTTCGTTTAATTCCTACATATCTAACCCTTTCCACAATATGAACACTTCTATTGAAAAAAGAACATCCTATTGTGGCACAAAATTTTTATTATAAATATATTACTTATGAGCAAAGATAAACTATGAAATGCACAAGAATCTATAAAGTTCGCAAAAAAATGACATTCGGCAGAGATAGAATTTTGGTGGAAAAACACATTCCGCGATGGCAAGTCGAGGGTAGGGCGAGCCCAATCATTAATTTGCGGGTGTTAGGTGACTTGTCGGTTAGGAAAAAAATGAATAACTCTTGGGAAGCACACCAGATGTGGCCCTCTTGATTTGTTGCATTGGGCAAATATACCTTGAAGGGGAATCAGACAAGCGATGGGTAAACCTATGCATCGGCGCTCGTATGGGGTAGAAAATCTATACCAGATCACGCAGAATTTATACGTTTGTAGGCGTCGCTACTTTTGATGGGCGGGGTTTCTGACCACAGCAAGCCTCTCGCGCCATTGCCACGCACTTTCCACTGGCTGAAGTGGCATGAGCTACGCCCTCTGCGGGTCTGCTCTCTTCACAACAGGGCCTTCACGTAATGGCAGAATGTATCTTTGAACAGCAATAATTCATTGAAAATAAAAGCTGGTGCAGTCTGATTCCCGGGTTAATTTGACGAAGAAAGATTCAAGACTACTTTATCTTGAAAAATTTGAGAATTTGCCTCAGATATCCAAATAATGTGGGATGATCAGATTGCACCCAAAACTCAAGCTTTCTGCTCACCCGATAGGTATGCTTAGCGTGAATGGCAACACTGGTTCTGTTGGAAATGAGCGTTTAATTACTCGCACCGCCACATAAAATTAAGTACAGCACCTTTCTAACTAGTAAAATACATCAACATTCATCGAGTAATCGCTCAACAATACCATTCAGCACCTGCACGCGATCCTTGTGACTTTCAGCGCCGATAAAGAGCCGGCTAAGGAACGACTGAGCCATTATACCACCCTCGATTCCTGCGAACTTGATGCGAGCCGTTTGGCATGATTCATCGGCTGTCATGCACCAATCGCGAGCTCTGTCTAGCCACGCCCACAGTGACTCTGCAAGCAATATGGATCCGACGTCGTAGACCAAGAGTTAATGTTTTTTTTCTCTAAGTTTCAAAACAAAAAAAAACAACACGTAAGGAGCATTGGGACACTTACCAACTTCAGAAGCGTAACTCGTGCCGTCCAGGTAATGTGAGTCCTGACCGGACAAAATTTCCAAAACCGGTTGCAGAAATGGTACAACAGTAGGGTAGCTGTGAGCCTCAAGCTTTTCTCCCCTCATCAATGACTCGTTGATACTTTTGAGAGTCGCATATTCGTTCTTGGCGTTGGGATCAAGGGATTTCCACAGCCATGTCAAGGAAGTAAGCTGAAATACCTTGCTTTCAATAGTACTACTTCCATAATAGTATTGTATGAAGAGAGATTCAAGGTGATCACAAGTGGAGGTTCAGCGGGACTTGAAGGTGCAGACACCGTTGGTCGTGTGAGTCTGACCTAACCCGTGCCTTTCAACTTGTTATGCTCCTCCTTTACAGGAAGATGAGGAGGGCAAATAGGATGCCGGGAAGGCAGCACGTTAGGCCTGCCCCCACCCATCTGATCAGCGTGGACTGCCACTTCTCTGCAGTACCGCGAAGCAAGAACTAACGGCGAGTGCAATCTCTGTTTATGAATGGTGGATTACACACAACCTACCAATCACAGACGCACCCCGCACGCGCAGCATTTTGCTAGAAGTCTGCAGCGGGGCTTAGAAAACGTTTTTTTTGAAAAAATTCACTTTTGCTTACCTGAACTTCTGGCAATATTTCAATCTGAAACTCACCGACTTCTCCGACAGTGCCCCGGCAATACAGGCGCATGCAAAAGCGTCACCATTTCGTGCCAATGAGACGCCTACGTGAATCCATTTCTTCAAAATCAAGTGTGCATCCTTACGAGCACCAGAGAGTATCGACAGAAGGCAGGAGTAATGTAGCATACCACTTCTTGAACAAAATATATTATTTATTTTATGAGTTTGCACCCGGCTTACAGCTGTCTTACCTCTCGATCAGTTCATGCCGCAATGATGATCCACTTGGAAGTAGGACTAGACGTAGGCCATTGTTCGTCTTGGAGTTGAGCTTCTTGAATGTGAACATTCAGTGGAGGCAAACGTATTCAGAGAGGCTAATCATAAAGTTCCGACATTTTAGTTGGCCTGCAACTATTTTTGCACAGAACAGTTCCGCCAAGTCGAACTCGGGGCGTCAAGATTGGAGCCTCAGGCTATCCCTTTCGAAACATTGGCTATCCCACCCACCTACAAATAGATGCAGCTGCGCAGCAAAGATTGAAAATATGGGAGTGATACGCTATGCTCCCCAGCAGGATGCGGTTCCTTCGCCGTAAGGTGATGCCGTCACCATCACGCTTTCCGCCTTTCGATTTCCGGTGTCTTTTATGTGATTCATTTACTGAGGTTTACAATCTTGCAGGAGTGTGAGTCTTAAATGAAGAGCCTTATCAGATTCATAGCGATGGGGGTTGTATTTGGTCGCTGCTGGGAGGTGTGCCGTATTTACCTCTGAGGAAGATGTTTTTGGTTGCTGACTTTTCTCGGTTCTCCCGTTTTCCCGTTTCACAAGCTTTCGTACCCCACGCTAATATAAAAGTGGTAGGACGTTGGAAAAATACGGGAAAATGGCAGGTGGCATGGGGAATGGCTAGACTTAGCGGATCGGGAGAGGGGGGGAGGGGTTTTTGCCAAAATACTCCCCATCGTGTGCCCTGCGTGCCTGCTAATGCTAATGCAGGCACGCCACCATTTATAAGGCGTAAAGATGAGAGGCGCGCTAA